ATTTTATTGTTTTATTACGTTCTACCTCATACCTGAGGTGTCGCGTTAAAAGCAGACTTTTATCGTACGAAAACCACGTCCGCTAAAGGACGTTGCCAGCTGCAAGCAGCAGGAGGCAAAAGCAGGCAAAAGAAAAAAGTAAAGGCAAAGGAAAATCTTTTGAAAATAGTGATGGTCCTCAAGGACCATCATATTCAAACAGAACATCACCTATTTAAAAGCATATTTTCTTCCTTTTTTTTTTTTTTTTTTTTTTTTGAAATTTTAGGATTGTTACAGTATCAGAGCAAAGTTCATGTTTTCCATGTCTATTCCTCACCCCTAAAACATTGCCGTTGATTTTCAAGACGAGTCTGTTGCTCACCCAATCAGTGCAACTTCTGTCGAGTCATGTTTCGACTATCCGATCTGTCTCTCTGCAGAGTCCTGTTTCAACTCTCTAATCTGTCTCTCTATCGAGTCATGTTTGACTTTCTGATATGTTTGATCTCCTCCACCTTGACTCTCTGATCTGTTTGATCAGGGAGCAATCTGAGCATGACAACCACTATTTCTACTGGTCATGCTATGCACTTGAAGATCCTGCTTGTTTTCGCAATTAGTTCTCTCTCATAGCATCTTGAGTTTGAGTGGAAGTGTGAAAGGAAAGTATATATTGCCTATCAGGTTAATATAGAAGGTATATATGGTAATCTGTATATTTGGCAATGTATATATTGTACTCGATATTGCGAAGGGTAGGTACAATATCTTGTATTTTATGGTAAGTCTAGGTAGAGTATTGGCGTTTGTGATTTATTTCTAATTTTGTTATTTGTATCTGTCATCTGATATGTTCTCTCTATCAGGTCGTGTTTCGACTATCTAATTTGTCCTCTTTGTCAAGTCGTATCTCAACTCTTTGATATGTTTGATCTTTTCCAAGAGTTCCTAAAGCCATCTGTTCTCGAGGCTTGTTGAGTCGCAGCTACTTTATGTGCTTATTGATCAAACAATCTAAGTAGGCATCTGAAGATCCAATTGCTCGTTTACACGATTTGGTGTTCAAGCTCCAGCTGCTCTCTTTCATAGCAGTATATATTGTATATCTGGTTAATATAGAAGATGTATATTGTAATCAATAAATATGGGAAGGGTATGATATTGTGTCATATATTTTAGGGTAAGTCTGTGTATAATTTAAGTGTCTATGATTTAGTTTCTATTAGTATCATTTGTAATTTGTCTATAAAAGACAAATTTCTATATTCATATCAATTAATGGACACAGAGAATCTCTTCAAAGAAATCTTAGACTCTTCACATTATTTTTATTTATTTTTTGTCATTCTAATACCTACTTTTAAATTTGAACATGTTAATGAACGTTATATCATCCCCAATCTATTTTAAGTGGGAGATTGGATTCAAATATTGGATTTTTTACTTGCTTTTCCTTTTTCTTTCCTCGGGGTTGCTGCAGAAGTTAAAAGTCCATGCTTCTAATGGCACGAAGCTCAACTCAAGTTAGATGGGTCGAGACTCGAACTCATTTTGTGAACACATATTGTTAACTCTTTAACCATTTGACTTCCATTATAGCAAAAAATTACACGGTTATTGTAATTATCCTTGCCATTATTATCATCATCACTACTACTATCACCGTTAGCACGGCTATTAGTTGCCAAGAAAAGTACAGTAGTCTCTCTCTCACACAGCAGCAGGAGCAATATTACTAAGGTGCTAATTAATAAGAACTTGGACGAAGCAAGCAAAGAAGAGGATAAAGTTAAACCATTTACAAATTCTCTACAATGCACAAATTATTTTTCCTTAAAAATTTCATAGAGTAAAATAAATCACAAAAACTTGTGAATTGAAGCTGAGTCGTGGCTTTTAGTGCTCAGAGTGATCCTTACACTCCAACATCAGAGGTTTCTGAGTATCAGGAAGGTGCTCCACATACAAATTGTGCACCATGTTTACGTACTCATCAATCTTGTCCTCAGTCCAGTTATCGGTACTTATCGGGGGAAGATACTTAACAGTTAGAGGTGCAGGTCTCACATGCAAACTGTCCTTTCTCCATGCGTTGTGGGTACCCGTCAGCACAATTGGAACTATTGCCCGTTTAGATTGCAATGCCATGTGAACAAATCCCTGAAGCCACAGGATACAAATGTGTGGGTGAAAGAGAGAGAGACAGAGAGGATGCAAGATGGTTTTGAAGTGACCTGGGTCACTATGATCTCGGTTTTGATTCCACACACACAAAGAGATTGAGAGATGTGGTTAGGATGATTGCCTTTTTGAATGGCAATAATCTTCCAGTTTTTGAACGAGTGCCTTCTGGAAAGATGACTAAGGATAGATTATTGCTCACGATGGCTTGTGCAGCCTGAATTTCACATAGATGATTAATGAGACTGTTGGATTGCGGAATGAGATTGCTAGATCACAGAATGCGTGATGAAAAATTGACAATGTAAGACCGCACCTTCTTCATTGATTCTATGGCAGCAGAGGGGTTTGAACGATCAATACGGAGATGATTTGCTAACACATAGAGCTGTCCAAAGAGAGGGTACCATATAATCTGAAAGGAACATAAATTTGCTGATATTACATGGTATTAGATAAAAGGAGTAGGAAATTGCTGAGGAGCTTCAATCATAGATAGGATACAAGAAAAAAATGAAGTTTGTCTTAATAGTTCTTTAATCTTTTATATGAAAATGAAAAGTTGGGATATGGGGTAGCTCACCTCCTTTTTCGCAATGCCAACAGTCCCTGTAGGAGTGAGCCACATAATAAGGAAAATGTCGAGAGGAGATGCATGGTTGCAAATATAAATAGCCTTCAAGTTTGAATATTCAATGCCTTCTATTGTTATTGGATTCCCTAAAATCCACATCTGTCCTTCAAAAGTTGAAATAATGCATCAATAAATGATAATAATGCTCAACGACAATAACTCACGTAGCAAAGTGTTAATGGAATGATGAAAGTATTTCTTCATTCATAATCGTCACAAAGATGATGAAGTGATAAATGCTTCTTCATCATCATCAGAGCCTTTACCCAACTATTTAGGGTCGGCTACATGAATCTCGGTCCACCATTTTGCTCTATCAAGGGCGATACCCTCAGTGAGGCCGTAAGTCCCCCATGTCCTTTTGGGCCTTACCCCCTGCCCTTTTTGAGCCTTCTATTTGAACCAACTCGTGCTCTACTAGGTTTGCGCTGCACATGCCCAACCCACCTAAGTCTACTTTCTCTCATCATATCGTCTATTGAAGTCACACCTAAATTCCCTGATTGAAGTGGAAAATGCTTGCTATCACAAAATAGATTCAAATTAAGCTCTTTACATATTCCAATATAGTCCATCTCACCTGTGAGAATTTATTATGCTATCAAAAGACAATAGACTGAACATGATGCAAGAAGACCTCATGGAGGCAGAGACCTATAACATTTGGCCATCATATAAAACACTACTGTTTATGGTACAAATTCATGAAATGAATATTCAAATATATTAAAAGTTCAGAGGAGCAAGCAAATATTCATCTGCTAATATTTCCTTCTTTTCCCCTAGCATTAGATAAATTTTGTCATGTTCCACAAATTTTTTTAATAATCTGTTGAATTGTATTCAAGATGTAAATGGAACTTGTTCTATTTTATGCACCATAAATGCACAATGTCTGGCATCCGTGGCTCTGTTTCTACAAAGTATCAATTAGAAGGAAAATCAAATAAGTAGGTCAGCCATTTGTATGTTTGTCACAAAGTTGGATTTACAAAGAGAGGTGCAATGAGTACATGTTTCATCTACAAGGAATATTAAATACATTTTTTTATTCTGAGAGAAGTGCTGAGCATATGCTCGTTTAGGAGCTAGAGCCCAGAGAAATGCCTTTGTTTTGCTCTTATCATTCTATGCGATCTGAATCAGATAATAAAGGAAACCCACCCCTAATATTTATAACCATCAAATTGAGACAAGCATGTTCTTCATTAAAGAGACTAACAAATAAGCATGCTGTTATTGATCAGGATTAAAACCCCTTGCTGCAAGCCACTAATGGCAAGAGTAGTCTAGATGATGATGGACTAAAAGTCTCATCTAAATCACCTGCATGCTAGATATGGGAACCCCAGGCTTGGCATGGTCCCTTCAGTTCTTTCTATGCTCTAAGAGATGTTAGAAAAGCCTTGTAGTTTCCTCCTTGTATCTATGGTCCAATCCTCATATCACACTAATTCTAGTTTACATGGATGATATACTCATTACCAAACAATATCCATAAGCAAATTGCTGGCAGTTAAGCTAGCTTCAGAAATTTCATGTGCTTGGTTGTAAGTTTATTCCAATTTATCATTCTCAGGAAGAATTTAATTTCCCTCTCACAATGACTAAAAGAACCTTTCAATAGTATGTGGATTAGTAAAATATTCATCAAGATGGCCCTCCTTATTATTTGATCACATTAATATCTTTAGTTTGTTGGCGGACAACAATGCTTAACAATAACTAGCCTAATGCTTGCCTCTTCAATTAACCAAGCATTTCATAAATGCATAAGCTCTCACATGCTTATATTGAGGTCATCAAATGTACCATATGCTATCTCAAAGGTAAAATTGACCATGACATATTCTATAACCACAGTGGACAACTCTGATAGTGAAATGGATGCCAATTAAGTTACTAGCCTGGTGATTTAGTATCTATCGTGCTTTTGAGGAGCTTATATATTTTTGACCATTGAGAAGCAAATAAGATATGCAAAGTCTAGTGCCAAGTAGAATATCAAGCTTATTGCTAGCACCTTTGAGCATACATGCTTATGGTATACTCTTTGGGAGCTTAGTACTACAATATATATTGCAGATAATAAATTTTTTTTACATCAGATCTCAATATGCTTCGATATATTGATCATTGGAAAATATCATGAGAAAGGTGCTTGCCAGAGACAAACATCAACATTTTTAATCCAAGTTCTCTATGCACTGAGCTTGTCGGGGGTCTACTAAAACTACGTCTTGCATATTTAGATATCATAGGATCATGGTATCTGTCACATGTGTAGGTTACAACAACCATTTGGAAATTTCTTTTCTGGACAACTATATAATTTACTTCCATCCTGTAATTATATGAGTTTTTAACTCAATGAAAATTTTGTCCAAACCCTCACTTGTTAGGTATTTGGAGAGTCTAAAATGTGTGTTGACCATGTAAGACATGCCCATGAACTATACACTCTTTCCAAAGTAATTTTGTATGCTACAATTTACCAATAGTGCCTGCATCCATTCATCACAGCGACATGTACAGATTTATCATTTCTGCTGCAACAATTTTGGATTGTTATCTTTGATACTTTGTAATGTGTCAGACAACATGCATGCCTCTGACATTCGCACATTTTGGGTAAAAACTCTATTGGTTTCAACTATATCATAGTAAAAACTACCTTCCAATCATGCTATTGCCTTTTCAGATGGAAAAAGAAAAAGTGAGAACAAAAAAAGGTCTCTGTTAGTGACTAATAATTCACCTTTCACCATTTAGGGACTTTTCCGATATGGGCTTCTAAAAGCAGATGAATTTTCAGAATCCTTCGATTTCACTGTTCTTCTTTACAACCAGAACAATACACATCAATAAGCATTCCATACAAGCATATTAACAGGATCCAATTTACTAAGATAAGAAGACATCAAATACATCAATAGACAAAATCTAAACATCATTGGTTCAAATATAACCTAAGTTCAGAGAACTTATACAGGTAGCAAAAAAAGATGAGACAAAAATCATTGAGAAACAAAAGAAAGCTTACCAGCATCCTCCCAGTCACATGCCCATAGACATTCCCTTGCTTGACCCTCAGATAAGGCCAGGGAAGCAAAAAAACCATCAGTACTGCCCATACAAAAGTTGTAACCATCATTGAGAGAAAACAAACGATGATTCTTAGATATGAAATTGCGGCTGCAACCCAACTGTCATTATCGAAATAAGCCATGTTATTGGTCTTTAATCCCACTGCTTCCTTGGAGTGAACTTCAGATTTTTCCACCTTGAAATTGTCCCTTCTTTCAAAGAAATTCTCGACCCTTGGATTCCTCAGGAAAGATCTACCCCCACAACCCTCCATCATTGTATAATTGTTCATTGCTTTTATACCGCAATACCTATTTAAAGAAGATTTCAATGGTACTTCAATTTAAGCAAACGGCACCAGAGTTATACTTCACCAGCAAAGGAGATGACTATTGGTACATTTTGAGACCAAGAATATGAACCAATTTTCAGGAAAAATAGATTAACTACGCTATTAAAGGAACAATAAAATATCATCAATCGGTAAACGATGATCATGTAACAGGCGATTCAGTTCTCCATTCTTTCAAATCTCATGAATTATCAAGCTTCTAGTATAAGCCAAGCTTCCTCTTGCTTCACAAAATTTCCAATAATTGCTTCAGAATTTCTTCCCTTAGATTTAAGAATAATTATTCTCCACGTTTGCTAGATCCTTATGACTGTAAGCATATGTCAAGTATGAAATCATGTAGAAAAAACAAACGCTTCTAGAATGAATTTAGAGTAAAAATGGCAGGCGAGTATCAGCATCTTGTATTTCTACAATACCATACAGGTTTATTCAAATATTTTGAACGAACCATAAAATTAGTGGTCAACACATTGGAATATTTCCATCCTTCTGAAATAAACAGAGATTTGAGGTAGATACTACAAGAAACAGCTTACACTCTTCACTACCGATCAATTTTTATTGCATAAGGCATCACCATATCCATGCGTGTGCATATGATGACCGGCTTGGGAATTGAGAAGAAAGATTACCAAAAAAGTGATAAGCAATCAATCTTCATTAAATGTGCCCTGAAAATCCCATAAAACAGAAATATAGTTGATTTCAAAGTTAATATGATTGTTACAACAAAAAAAAAGTTGAAGTAAACTTTAAGCCAAAATTCAACAAAGAAACCCAAACAGTCAAATAAAGACCCATATTCCACATTAATCTGCAACAGTTTCCCTTCTCTAGGAATCTTGATAGACTTTATCAAGAAGGACCGACAAAAACACTGTAAGCTTTTTCAATTTTTCCATCAATAAATTGTTAAGTTCGTCCATATTTTCAACAAATTCAAATAGTCATTAGCATTTAAGGAAAAAAACAATGATGATGCAAAATCTCTTCAAAATAGAAGTTCAACTTAGCAATTGACTGAATATAATTCAGTAATGAAATCCAAAAGTCAAGATTGATGTATGCAGCATTAGGAATATATAATCTCAATACCGACAATAAGTCCACATATTTCTCCAAAATACCAAAGTTCAAAGTGACCTTCAAGTGAAGCTTTTTGAAAAAAACGAAAGTGCTCCAAAAATCCACAGCATTGATGTGAAAATATTAGGAATACTCTGTACTGGTTTTTCAACATATTTTTTAATGAAAAGAAAATCAATTATAAGAAATTTGCACTAAATTATGTAATATTTGCAGAACTCTGATTACCATCAGTGATTATTTACTGCAAATAACAATATATTCTGAACAATGATACTATGGATTATAAGCTTTCATGCAATGATTACTGAAAATTGAAGTGGAGTTTCATCTAAAAATCAGCATCTGAAACTATTATCTCTAAAACTTCAGAATACTTACTGTTCTCAGCAGTAGCTGAAAATCAAATAAACCTTCTTCCAAATAGTATACTCTCTCTCTCTCTCTCTCTCTCTCTCTCTCTCTCTCTCTCTCTCTCTCTCTCTCTCTCTCTCTCTCTCTCTACTCTCTACTACTACTACTACTACTACTCTACTACGTACTACGTACTACGTACTACGTACGTACGTACTACTACGT